AAGAATCCATACTAAAGCGGGGTGGGGAGATTCTTTGATGGTTGCTGGGATGTGGGGAGGGGGGTGAGAGGGGAGGGACGGAAAGGCGAGGGACCTAGTGTTTAATGATTATCTAGCCTGAGAAACTCTTGAGCAGCAAGGCAAAATAGGTAAGTGAGACTTCATAATTACTTTGCACAGAAAAGGACTTTTATCAACCAAGTGGGGAAAAAAACACCTATGGACTCGGGGGAAATTTTCATTAACCATATGTCAGATAAGGGCCTAAATAATAGATATAAAACTACTACAACATTAAGTTGATACCAACTTCCAGGGACCCTATCTATATTAGGCGACACCACTCACCCCCATGAGAAGAGCAGTGATCAGGAAACATGAAAACAAGCACCCGGGACGGGCAGGGACAGGGACGCTCACTCATCCATGGCAGTTGAGAATGCAAAATGGTACAGCTGTGGTGAAGACACTGTGGCAATTCCTCAAAAAGTTGACCATAAAACGACCATATAACCCAGCAGTCCCAGGTGCACGCCCAGAAGACATGGAGGTGGAAACTAAAACCTGGGCCCCAGTGTTCACGTCAGCACATAACAGCCAGAGGGCAGAGATACCAAAATGCCATCAGCAGATGATGGATAAACCAAATGTGGTCCAGGCACAGGGGAGTAATGCAGCCCGTAAAGAGAAGCGTCTTAGTGAACCCAAGTGAATCAGTCACAAGAGAAGTACTGTGTGATCTCATAAACCTATAGAAGCTAATGATGACTCGGGGGGTACAGAGCAGGAGGAAGGCAGGAGCTCTTGCTACAAAGCCCGGGGTATTTTACAAAAGGATAGCGAACCACCACTGAACTGTAAATGATGGTGGTGGTGCACGTTTTGATGTTTGTATTTTCACCACAATAAAGCATGTTTAGAAAGGTCAAAACTTTAAATATGGATGGCATTCAATGTATATTGTTTCTGATGTTTAAAACATGGAAGCATGTTTTAAACATGTTCTTTCAAACGTCACACGAGGCTGCTGCTGTTTGCCCAGTATTCTGATCACATGAACAGAAACAGCATTTCGTTTCCAGAGAGCACAGATTTAGCCAGTAAGGCTGTGCTCCATCTCCTGTAAGAATGGCTGAGTGTCCGGGAAGCCTTGGGTTGGAGAGTGTGTTTCGTCATGGAAAAGCGACAGCCGATTTTCAGACTCACCTGTGCTGGGGAATGCCTGGGCAGAGCCCTCCTTACCTATTTTCTCCACAGGGGTATTGAGAGGGAGAAAGCCCTGTCTCAGAAGCTGACCCATCATCTCTTCGTCATCTGCTTGGATCTCTGAGACCATGTTACAAGGAATGAGGCCGAGGCGGGCACAGGTCTCCCCGCGATAAAATCCATCCGCGTCTTTATCACCGTAAACCTAGAAGCACCGAAACAGCGTCATCCCCAGCTGCTGTTCCCCAGGACTGAGTTGGGGCTGCACGCTGCAGGTGTTCTTGGAGGGCACCTGCAAGGTAGTGTATACGTGATCTCTGTGATACATCCTCCAGGGTGGGGAGGACGAAGATAAGGCCCCCCCACCCCACCCGCTCCATGCTGCCACAGGAAATCAACTCCTTAGTTAACAACATAGCGCCCCGTGGAAGATGGCCACTGACACGGGGTGCGTGGTTCACGCAGAGCCCTCTAGGGGTCGCCAGCAGCAGCAGCCCCTGGCCAGGGGGCGGTGTGGTTACTATTGCTGACCCTCCTGCCGCGCTCTGCTGCTGGGCATCACGGCTGACCACAAGCGGGCACCAGGATCCATCCGGACACTGCATAAGTACCCAAGCCTTTCACTGGAGGTAACTTCTCGTGGTCAGACTCGGACAGGCTGGTATGCTTCTTGCAGCACAGGAAGTTTCTAGAACACGTGTGTGTGTGTGTGTGTTTTTGTTTTTGTTTTTTTACCCGAGCACACGTGTACACACTACCCTGCAGTGGCACTGTTTCCGCCCCGCGGATGAAGCGCACGCTGGAGTCACTCCGAGGGGGCCCACATTGCCCTAGTGCCTGGTGTGTGTCCCATAGACTGTAGGCAGAGGTGTCCCGGTGTCTTCTGGGTTTCTGCCATCCTTCCCCAGAGCCACACAACCAAGCCTCCACTGTCCCCTACCCCCGGTGATCTACCGAGAGCCCCCCTCCCCACTCACCTTGATGATCTGTCCTTCTTTAAAAGGGAGCTCCTCTTCCGCAGCATCTGGGTTAGGGGACATGGTGAGTGGGTCATAGTCGAAGAGAGCCACAAAGATGCGGGTCGAGAGCTCGTCGGCGCCGGGATCCGTCTCTGACTCTTCGTAGAAGTCTGGTGAGAGCCTGTCTCGGCCTCCGTAGTCGTCTAGGGGGAAGAGAGAAAACCCCAGCGTCAGTGAGTCCACTGTGTGTGATCAGTGGGAAATGACCGAATCGGGCATGTCCCACGTGGACGCAGCGGGGATTTGCAGGTGGCCTGGGGATGTGAGGGCTACTTTTCAGTCGTGAAATAAATTTAGGGCACATCGAATACAAGGGGGTTTCACAAAGTTCAAGGGAAAATGAAACTGAACATGCAGCTTCCCCACTAACTCTTTAAAGGCCCTTTGTATTTAAGATCCATTTGATAGGAGTCAAAATTGGATACAGCGGGCCAACCTGCTCACTTTGCTAGATAGATACCTTGGGTATTGACAAAAATGTTCTAGATGTCAATGATTTCCTGGCAGACTCATGGAGGCAAGTGAGAAGTGCTCAAAATAGCAGCAGAGGTCGGTGGGAAACAGCCCAGTCAAAACATCTGGTGCTCACCAACGGAAGGGAAGCTGGGATGGCGAGGCTTCCACTGAAGGTGAACCGTTTACCTGCTCTTTTAAAGTCATAATCTTGTTAGGGTGCCTGTTGCTGAGTGGTACTGAGCCGGTTCTAACTCACAGGGACCCTGTATAGGGTTTGAACCACCAACCTTGTGGTGAACAGTCCAATGCTTATCCTGCAGCACCGCATCTGGACTCGTAGATAAATTACAAGGAGTCCAGCTGCTAACCCCAAGGTTGCCTGTTGAAACCCAGCAGTCACTCCAAGGAGAAAGATGGGGTCGTCTGTTCCTACAAAAATTACAGCTTCAGACCCTCTAAGGTAGCTCTTCTCTATCCTATACGCTGTCCATGACTCGGATCAACTCAACAATGGATTTGAGTTTTTGTTTTGAGTTACATTAGTAAGAGACTTGTTTGTTGATGTGTTAGTAATAAATACTTTTCTACAAATCTAACAAATATCTTACTAAAATTAAGACACATGCCAGTAAGTTGCCATTTGTGGCTGGGTCACCCTGGCAAGGCTTCGGTGGTAGACAGACTTCCCTCTAAGTCCATGGGGTTGGGCAAGTTGTAGCCCCACAATTTTTAGTTTCTGTAGATTTTCCTTCTCAGTACTGGGAGACACCAGTGGGGACCCAACTTGCCTCTTAGAAAGAATAGCTCTTCTTAGTACGCACAGCATAGCCCCTTAACAATTCACATAGTGCCCATGCCTCTACCGAGTAGTACACTGTCTTCACCCACTGACATTAACCACCAGGGATCTTTTCAAAGTACTTTCAGGTCAGTTCCGTTGATCTGGGTGCGCCATCTTCGCTGCCTTGTTTGCAAAGCCTCTGTTATTCCCAAGAACTGTCTGTTAAAGTTTGGATGAAGGCCTAGACTCGGCAGCCACTGTGCTCTGGGAGGAAAACCACCGAAACCACTCACCCATGGAAGGGACCACCATTGGCCGGGACCTCGGCGGGCCAGCACTGCCGTGAGGAAACCTCGAACCCATGTGATCGGCCCTCTCAGCCCGTCCAGCTGATACCAGGTTCCCTAAAATCTAAAGAGAAAACCGGACAAACAGAGGTGTAAGTCACCACCCTTGGGGGAGCTGGAGGGCACTAGCAAAGTCAACTGAAGGTTGAAGCAGAAGCTTTAAAGGCAACTAAACCTAGCTTTTAACTGAAGGGTTAGCTGAAGGGCCTGGAAGAGGAGACCGCTGTTCACCCGGCACCCTGTTTTCTAGAGTGGGGGCGGCATTTGCTGCGCTGCCGTTACTACTGCTGACACCAACTCTCTGGTTCCAATCCAGCCCTTCCCTCGGCTCCACGCAACACAAAAAATGCTGCCTGTCCAAACGTCCTGCTTGGATCAAAGCCATACATGAATGAGGCTAACGTGGACTCAAAAGGAGACCGTTGTGCTGGACAATCGCCTTTAAAAGCCACAGCTGCTCCTTGACCCTCAGCTGAAGACACCAACTGGACCTTCAGGCTCTTGACTGACTCTCCTTTCTGAGGTAAGTCTGACTCAAATAAAGGCCCAAAGATCTAGAGATATCAAAACAAGACCTGCAGCTTACTGGACCCCGTTAGTCTATGGGAGGGACCCATCAATTTGGGGGTGGACAATGCAAAAGGGGATCCCAGCACAAGACTGTGGGCCCGGGAACCCTTGGTCATGGTTGGCGCCCTCTTGTGGCCACAACTCCAGGAGCTCCAACAGAAGAGGGCCACGGTGCCACTTGTCTGCATGTTAGGGATAAGTCGCAGCAAATGTTCTATAAAAGGACACAGCGCAGGGACAAGTGCAGCGTCGGGGGAGGTCCCGGTTCTTGAGAGAAACAGGCCAGACAACAGAGCAGGACACACCCAGAGCCATCTCCAAAGACTCAGGATGAAATATTCCTTCTGGAAACATTGGTGGTGCCGTGGAGTCGGTTCCGACTCATAGTGACCCTGAACAGGGTTTCTGAGGCTGTAAATCTTTATGGAAGCAGAAAGCCTCATTTTCTCCCATGGAACATCTGGTAGTTTCAAACTGCTGACCTTGAGGTTCACAGCTGGATTCGTAACCACTACGCTACCAGAGTTTCTTAGAGGGAGAGAAAACAATGGGGTTTGGGGAAGAGTGAGGACAACTTTGGAAGGAACGTCATTCAGTAATTGCTTGTCATGTTTCTTTCAAGTTAAGGATTAAAGCCCGAATTAAGAATTATAACAAAACCTTCGATAGCAACACTGCTAAGTGCAGTACAGTTAGATTTGATTCATAGTGACCCTGTGTAGGTATCCGAGGCTTTAAATCTCTGCAAGTGCTGAAAGCTCCATCTTTCTCCCAAGGAGCAACGAGGGGGCTAGAACCACCTACTTTGGTGTCTCCACTACAGAGCCACTGAGCTCTCTGAATGCTACCAGTAATAACTTAGTCTCCAAGGATCGGTTTTGGGAAACTAGTTAGCATATATGTTGCTAAACTCTGGAATAATCGCAGTTCAGCTAACCCTTAATTAAAATTTAGATTCAGTTGTCCTTTAATCAAAGCAGCCATATCATCATTGATTCTGTGGGGAAAAATCATTATTCTAAAGCAAAGTAAAGAGGTCTCCAGCATGGTTAAACAATTATGAAGCAACAGGATTGAAGAAATCAAAAATGCATGAGGGAAAAGAAAGGGGGCCAGCAGGGAGGTCCCTCAGGAATGGACCCCAGAAAGAAAGAAAGAAAAGAATGGAAGAAGGGGGCTAGGTCGGCAAGCAGATGTGAGAGCAAGGTTACTTCAACACACCAAAGGACTGTCTGCCACTCGGGGAGGTGGCTTGGCATGGTGGGTACTGGCCCTACGGCCGGACATGTTTATGCTTTTCCAAACATCCCGGAAATCTTCGTGATCCATTGACTCCTCCCAGTCATACTTCCTGGGGCCCGATTTCTCTGGGCGGGGCTGGACTCCATCAGTCCGGATGCCTTCGCTGGGGTCCACTTGGTCCCCAAAGTCTTCTTCGATGCTGCTCTGGCGCGTCAGCGTCCGCCGCCGGGCCAGCAAGGGCCTGAGGTTCCTGCGGCAGGGACAGGGTCCGGGGCCTGGGCCGCACACAGAGGCAGGGTTTCGGAAGCTGAAACGCAGCTCTTCCTCTTCACTGCCACAGTCCAGACCGCTGTCCGGGCTTCGGCTGGCCGAACGGATGAACCGACAGCCCCTGTCTTCCAGAAGGAAGTCCTCGGCGGCGTGGGGTGCCCTATGCTTGCTGGGGAGCCAGGTGCCCCGGGGGGCGGGTGGGGGCGCCCTGGCTCGGGGGGTGCACCCTCCACCTCGTTTATGCAGAAACTCCCCGAGCTCGCAATCCTCCTCGGACGCCTCCGGGATGCTGAACAGCCTCTTACTGCGGTGGGCCGGGTGGGGGGCCTCGGGCTGCTCCCAGAAGCCACCTTCAGGACTCCTAACCTTAGACCCCTCCTTCAGGGTGGCATGTTACCCAACAGGTGTGGGGCAGACAGTGCGGGGTCCCAAGGAAACGTGGGGGCAGAGGGAAGGAGAGAGAACACAGAATTAGTGTTGGAGGCCATGGGCAGAAAGCAGGCTTCGCAGCAGGGCTGAGGCCGTGCTCTGGAATGGAAACAGAAGGCATCACTGGTGGGCTGGAGGACCGTCATGCAGGACAGCGAGCAGAGGCGGCAGCCGGCCTCGCCCAGGGACACGCAGGCCGGAGGCCTCACGATGACCAGGACACGTGTGTTCCATCAACGGTGGCCCAGTCAGGACCAAGCGGGGTGGACAGTGACCCACCCCATGCTCTGCCTCACCGGGCTCTCCTCTGCCTCTTGACTTCTAGGCCCGGGACCCCTACCCCTTCCTCAGGTACCACCTTCCTCCCTGGCTTGCTGCCCTCCCCGCAGCCAGCCAGCCAGCCAGCCCATGAGCCCATCCTAGGCCCCATCCCCAGCTCCTAGAACAGCATTTGCGTGGAGGGGCTTTGGCAGTTTTGCAAAGGCAATGTCCATCCGTCTGTGCGGTCCGAGGACAGGAACCCTTGGTCTCTGGTGCCTGGCACAGAGCTGACCACACAGTCCTGTGGACAAATGCTCCCAGAGTTGATACTTCATGGGTATGTAAGTAGTGTTTCCACAGGCAGCTCCTTGGACCTCACCCTGAAGGACCCCCCCCCTCGCTATATGTCCCAGCTCCCTCACCCCCAGAGCACAGGGCTCATGTGCTAATGTGACATCCAGAGCGTGTATCCTGGGGACTGTCACCCAATACCACAGAGAAGGAGGAGGAGGTGGGAACTCTGCTCAGCCCCAGGGGGACACGTGAGTCCCCAGGACAGCCAGGTCTCGTGATCATACGGAGAAGCCAGGAGAAGCCATGAAAGGAACATGGAGACATGTACCTACATGTAGACAGTGTATGGCCCGGGACTTCCTGTGTGCCTTCCTTGATAATGTGCCTGCACTCCCGACGACGGGTGCAAATTCACGGTTCTTTGCTAAACAAGGGTAATGACACTGCATCCCACCACCACCCTCAACAAGGAGGAGACACTGTGGGCTTCTAACATGTACACACTGGCCCACTCGGCCCACCCCCAAAACGCTGCTATGAATCCGGCTGATGCCCCTTCTGGAGCTAGTGGGGGAGCCAGTGGGAGCTGCCACCATGCAGGGCTTGCAAAGGGACAGGGCATGTTCCTTGGTGGCAGTGCTCTGGAGGGAGAGCATGAGCTACTCAGTCTATCCAGGAAATGTCGGGTTAGCAGCCAGGTCTGGACGCTACCTTCTGTTCACCATTGAAAATCATGACTGTGGCTTTGAAGAGATACAACAGCAAAGTGCTTGATGCCATGGGAGTTTGCTCCTGAAGGCTTTTCTCCTCCCAGGTCCTCTCTGGGGCCCAGCTCGATGAGCTGCTGCAAGTGGACACCATTGCATCCTGTCCCTGCTAGCCCCCTGCCCAGCCCTAGAGAATGACCTGCTCAGACTGCCCAGTGAGCAGATAAATATAGGAACTAGGGCACACTGCTGACCAACAGCCGTGGTGGCAGAAGAGGCCCCAAAGGAACCCTAGCTGAGCTCGATGGTGGTCTCCAACTGAATACCCACCACCGTAATCCCCAGTCTCATCCGTCATAGATGCCTGCTGCTCAGAGGAGAGGACATGTGGGTCTCTGGGGGGGACGGTGGTCTGAGAAGGTCACTGGAGACCCCAGCCACAGAGGGCTAGTGTAGCTGGGCCCATCCCAAAGGAAAGCCAGTCCCAAAACAGAAAGGAAGGCCAGCCTCCTATTCTGACATCACCATCCTCTCTCTCCCCTCCCTCTTTGCCCCTCTCTGATGCCCACTCACTAAGCACAGCCCTTATCGGGAGCCCAAGGAAAGCTGTGTAGTCAGTGTCCCAGCTGGCCTCACAATTCTCACGCTGCCAATTGTGCCTCAGATGCTGACAAGTGTCCTACTGGGTGTAGGTTCTCCTGTGGGTGAGCACTAAGTGTCAGTGGAATCGTCTTTAGTCCTTCTGATCTAACTCCCAGTATGGTCCTGTGTGTGTCCCCCTGCAGGTACCACAAAAACTTCCCCAAATTCCACCCAGGTAACTGCTGAATGCAAATTCAGTGGTGAGGAGGAAGCTAATATGTCCATGTGAACAGCCCAGCAAAGACACAAGGAGAGCGTGGCCACTGACCTTGAGGGCGTTGTGGGATGTGCCACTGGGCCGCCTCCTTCCCCCGTCTTCCAGCTGCATTTCCGAGTATAACTCCTCCTCATCCTCCTCAATGATGTCTGAGAGGTCGGACCCACGGCTGCTCTCAGTGTGATACTCTTCTCCATGGTAACAATGGGGCTGGGACCAGAAAAGGGGACGCTGACCCAAAACACCGCCACACCACACAGCTGCTCCGGCACGCTGGGAAATTCCCACGCTTCTCCTCACCTCTTTTCCTGCTTTGCTAACACTTGGAGCTCAAGCCCCCCAGAGAAGTGTCTGTGTATTTGTGTGTGTGTGCCGCTCATCTCTGAGATGAGGAAATGAAGCGTAGGCCTAGGGCACACTCCTGCCAGCCACACCGTGAGTCAGGACGGTGGAGATGGGACCCCGCACTGGTCTCTGCAGCTCGCAGCCACATGCAGAGAGGCAGAGAAACCCTTGGACAGATAATCCACAGGGGTTTCTAAGATGCATGGGCAAAAAGTTCCTTTTCTGGGTATCACTCCAACTTACTGACCGGATAAAAGGCTCAAGTCAGAAGACAACTTAGAAGACAGTTGGGGCCAGGGGTGCAGTAAATGTGTACGCTCAATCCAGTGTCAATCTAGGGATGGTGGGAAGTGGACTTGCCAATCCTTAGGCAGACTGTGTTTGCTCTGTGCCAGACTCGACCACAGCCATCATGCAAACACTATGGAGCCAGGAAAGGGGCTGGGGACAACACAGAATATTTAACAGAAAACGGTTTTTAACTTTAAAAACATATTCGACAGCATCCAAACTTTGAAACACACATAGCCTACTGAGTATCTGAGGTTAGCATGCCCCAAACACTGTGTCCAATGATCTCAAGACTCTGGCGACAAGGATGCAATTTCAACTCAGCTGCCATGTTTCTTTCCCTTACAGATAAGATTCCGTACCACTGCTGACTCACAGGTTTAAACCTAAGTTCCATCCAGCAAAGCAAACGACACACCCTAGGAAGCCCAGGTCTGTGAATACAGCACACTGGCACAGAGAGTTTGCCACTGATTCGCAGCAGTTTACTGTGCTGGTGGGTGACAAGACAAATGTATTTAAGAGCGTTCTGTGACACGTTTATAAAAAATATATATATATGCCTGTTTCAATAACTAATCTCCACGAAGATGTGTAAGCAATTCCATTTGTGCTGAGGCTAAGGCACAGGCAGAACGTTCCAGCTCAACTGGCCTTAAAGAGGTGTCCGGGCACCTTCTCAGCGTGAGCAATTTGCTGCGTTAGCATTTGAACACAAGAATGTGAGCTGCCTCAGATCTAATTCTTTCAACTATGCCCCAAGTAAAAAGCCAATCTGGCTTCAAATGAATGAACAAAGATCAGACTGGAAGGCTTCCCACAAGGCACATGGGTAAGTGTGCCCTGTAAGAACACTGTCCCGTTTCCCTCAAACCTAGGGAAGCCAGATCCTGTACGTAAACCAGATACGTAAGGTCAGTCCTCCAAAGAGCCCTGGAAAGGAAGGAAAGCCGACAGTATTTGCGCTGGGATGGAGAGCTGCCAGTGAGGCAGTCCCACACTCAGTCACTCAGCAAACTGGTGTCCCAGCCCTGGCTCTACTGGTAAGCACTGAGGGAAACGTCAGTGCGTGCAGTGTTTGCTCGAGTGTGTAGTGGAATTACAGCACAGCGAAAGGGTCCCCCAAAAGAGATACTGTGCTTTAACACAAATAATGTGCGTGTTATATGGGTCTTTGCAAACCAGGCAACTCCCTGCATTTAGTGTCCTTGGCGTGTGCACATTGTTGACATGGCTCATGGTTGACATGGCTCATTATATACGGTACTCCCTGGAGCCAGGTTTTAATCCATCCGGGCTCTGTCAGGAAACCAATTGTGTGACGGGAACAAGAATCATTCACTCTGTGTGCCTCGCCTTCCCTGTGTGGACAAGCAATAGTTTTCACTTACTAAGGCTTTCAGTAAGCCAGTTAGCTGTTTCACGTCTGAGAAATACTCACAAAACCTTATAAAGTTGGTGCCACCCAGCAGAAAACTACCCTTTTCCTGTATGAGCAGAATGCCAATTCTGCTTCAACAGCTGGATGCCCCAGGGGACCAGGGCATCCTTGAGAAGCCAGGCTCAGGGAGCTTACTCTTACCAACAGCCAGGGGACCCTGGCCTGCCTGGTGAGGTGTAAGGACAAGTCCCACCGAGTTCCCAGGAAAGTGTCTGAGGAGAAAACCCCTCTTTCTGCCCCCTCTGTCATCTGAGTGTGATTACTGGAGACATGCTGCCGTTCTACAGCCATGAACGAAACAAGAGAACGGAAGAGACAGAGGCCTGAGCACCTCCTCAGACATCCTGCGGCATGGGGAAACAACCATCGGTGGTACAAACGCTGCATTTCTGAAGATCATTTTAATCTCTCTCGAGGAGAGAGAGGAAGGGATGACTGGAGGAGTCTGGGAAGTTCCTCTGGTGGTGCAACCACAGCAACCAACAGCGGAGCCAGGCTGTGCCCACTCACCTGCTTCCCAAGCTCAGAGCCTTTGAGGAAATCTTCCACGGACGTGCCTCTCCGCTTGATGTCTGGGGAGCAGTAACTGTCCTCCTCATCGGACTTCACGTACTGCCCCGTGCTGCTCCGCTCCGGAAACACACTCCTTTTCTCTAACTTGGGAGGGAGAAGGGAACAGACGGTGAGCTGGAGCCCACAGCAGAGAAGGATCTGCAGACAGCTGGAGCACCCAAACCCACATGGGACCCCACACTCCCGGACACCCCCAAACTCCTCAGAGCAGCATCATAACCCGGCCCACCCCACTCCAACTTTCCTCATCTGCCCCTCCCCACGTCCTCTCTGACCTTGGAGAGGTGAGCCCTGGGCTCCACTGAAGCCTGCCTCCTGGCCCTCCACGGCTCACCCTTCCCTGACTCCAGTTCTATCACTGAAGGCTTCCCAGGAACATGAGATCTTAGAGTGCTATTCCCCAACACAGCCCCAAAGGGGATCCTGGGAGCCAGCAGCCCGAGAGTCCGTGGGACCAGTCCTGGGGCTGCACACACAGAAACAACATGAGCATCCATACATACTTACATATACACACATGCCTGTCTACGCACACACATACACGTACAGTCGTACACACATCCATGCACAGACAACCATGTACTATTTACACACACACAACTGCACACATACGCAGACAAGCCATGTACACATGTATGCACACACATTCTGGTGGGAACAAGCACACATCTGGCTGGTACAAGGAGGCAGGTCCCCAGGCAAATCCCAACTGCTCCCTAAACCATGCGACTCGCCCTGGTTTCTTGGGAGCATCTTCCCAGAACATCCACGCATCTTATACGAGACTCACGCCGATCGATGGGGGCTGCTGGATGGATAAACCCGGTGCCCTGCCTCCAGAGACCAAAGGAGCCGGCTCCAGGTGGGCTTGGGCTGCTGCCCCATGGCTGGACCCTGCTGACCCCCTCATCCGAGGGGCTCGGCCTTACCCTGCTGCTCTCGGCCACCCTCTGCGCAGCCTCGCGGGCCATGGCCTTGGCGACAGTGCTGGAGACGGGCGCCCCCTGTGGCTGTGGGAGGATACGGCTGGGCGAGGGCGAGCGGCGCCCGGGCCCGGGGCCCTGAGGACTGGGGGGCTCCAGCAGGTGTCCATGCGCGGGGGCCGACGCCCGGCCTGGGGGTGCGTCTTTGGTTTCGGGGACACCGGCACTTGCGGATGGCTTCGGTGGGGACGCAGTCCTGGGGTGGGGGGCTGGAGGCACCAGGAGGTCGGGGGCTATGGCAGCAGCTGAGGAGTCCACGGACTCGCCCTGGGCCGAGAGGGTCCGCACGCTCACTGCCCGGGCTTCCAAACTGCGCAACCGCACCAGCTCCACTGCCGTGCCGTCCGCCGTGGGGAAGATGACCTCAGCCACCTGCATACAAACCACAGAGGGACGGTCACCACCCACACAGCCCGGTCCAGAAACATTCACCCACCTCTCAGGGGGCAGGGGACAGAAGAGTGTGGTTTCAGACCAGGAACACCTCGGCCGGTCGCGGGGTCTACGAAGACCACCTAACCCAGAGATCGTGGAGTTGACCCCGTGTGTGTCAGAGTACAGCTACTCCACACCGTTCTCAGTGACTGGTTGCTTGGAAGTTGATCACCAGCCCTTTCTTCCGAAGCACCTGAGGCTGGGTAAACCACCACACACATGGAAAAATGCATTGAGTGGAACACGTAAGATTAGTGCATTTGATGTCATGTTAGTACATACAAGAGGATCCTTTTCAGGGAAGACCCCGTCCCCCCGTGCAGTGCAAACAGTGAATGGTCAGCTGCTAACCAAAAGGTGGGAACTTCACATTTACCCAGAGGCATCTCAGAGGAAGGGTCCTGAAACCCATTCTGAAAAATCTGCCACTGGAAACCCTATGGAGCTCAGCTTTCCCGGAGTCAGAATCCATTCGTTGGGGAATGTTTTGGTTTCGGTTTTTCAAAACCATAATATCAATTTTATCACTCCGGTCTTCCCTGGGTCAGAGTAGCACTAACTTTAGAAGCTCTGAATTCTAAGAAAGGGTGACTTTGGGGTTTCGTAAAGGAGTGCTGGTGGCGCACTGTTTGAACGCTCCGTTGCTAAGTGAAAGGTCAGCAGTTCGAACCTATCAGGTACTCTGCGAGATAAAGATGTGGCAGCCTGTTCCCATACAGATTTATAGCCTTGGTAACCCTAAATCCTGAGGGATTGGTGTGAGTCGGGAGCCACTCTCTGGCAAGGGGCTTTTGTTTTTGTTTTTACTTTGACGTGTGTATAATGACATCAAGAGCACAGAGCTCAAATGTTCAACACAATGTGGTTTTACACCTGTATGGTACTCTGAGTCCACAGAGGTACCTCAGAAGAAAGACCTGGCAACCCACTTCCAAAACCCCAGCCCGTGAAGACCCACAGAGCACGTTCTGACACATGTGGTAGTGTCAGAGGGGACTCCCAGGCAGCTGGTCTAGTGTTTTGCTGTGCGTGTGTGTCTGCATGGGAGGGGATTCCTTGAAAAGAGAATGTTTATCACACCTCCCACCTCCTCAGCGAGTTCCTATTCAGTGAGGGGCCTCAGGGCCCAGCCCATGGGATGAGCACATGGCAACCACTACAGACTCACCCTCTGCCCTCGTGCGTATACGCCGTAGCCCGTCACGTTAGCCCCATTGGACAGCCCAGTGGACGTCAGGGCAGGGGGTCTCCAGGAGACCTGGACAGTGGCTGGGGTGGCTCCAGCCTGCACAGTGACATCCTGTGGGGGAGCCGGAGGACCTGGAGGGACAGGGACAGACGTGGTCACTTCCCTTTGGCAGTGACGGGAAGCAGGTGACCAGAGCTCTGCCTGACCACCGTCTACACGGGTTCACAGTTAACGGTGCTGAGAAAGAGGGTAGGACGGCAGGGGGTGATGTGTGAGCGTGTCTTCAGGGGTTCACCTTCTGCTGCAAAGGTACACCAGCTCTCTGAGCTCACAAGGACACCTAGAGTCTGGCAGAGGAAAGGTGGGCCTCCTTTGTGTCTCTCTCTCCCTGGCTGTCAGTGTCTCCATCTCTCTCTCTTCCTCACCCCTTCCCCTACCATCCCATCATCCATCCCGCTATGGTCTGCCTTTCCTGATGGCCATTTCCTGTACTGTGTGCCTCTAGGACGGGCCCCAGGTTCTCTGGTCTGACCCTCCTCAAGCACAAGTAGCCTTCTCGTAACTGAGGGGCAGTGGCAGTCACTCTCCTTGGAGACAGTTGTTGCCCAAGGACTGGTGTCACCTCCTGGATGTGACATGCTTCCACGGTCTGCCCAGCAGGTTGGTCACTACGTCCCCCCTCAGGGAAATAGCTCCAGCAAGTCAGTCACTGCCAAGGACCAGAGGTGGTCAGGTGTCATCATTCTTGAGAAGGAAGATCCAGCTGAAACCTGTACTGGCTCTGCCCCCCCAAGCAGTGAAAGCCCAGGGAAGGCACAGGGTTTGCTGGTGCACAATGAACACCTGCTTTCTGCAACCCCACTCGGTCCCTGAGGTGAAGGGCAGGCGGTCTCAGAGATGGACAATCAATGGAGAGATCATTATAAGGTGAACCTGCCCCAAACTTGGTTCAAACACAGCTAAATTTCAGAGGTCGACTCTTTGTGCTGGCAGGGGGGACACCCTCCCTACATCTTTGCTGGTGTCCCAGTCCACATAGCGCCCTGGTTCCACACGGTGATGGAAATGAGACACATCTGGTAGTGCCATTTCTGCAGACCCGGAACATCCGCATTTGCTTGGTTCTTGTTCTTTCAGGTGTCCCTGAGGGGAATGGTCAGATTTGGGGGCATGGGCACGGTACACACCTCCTACTGTCCTCTACTTGCATGTTTGTGTTAGCTGACATCAAGTTGTCCCCAAATCATGGTGCAATGAAAAAACCACTGGCGCGTTTTGCGCCATCTCTACGAGTTGTGGGCTGTACCACTGTGTTCCTTACGGGTTTTCGTCCCCGATTTTCTGAGGTAGACTGCCAAGCGTTTCTTCATAGTCGTCTTCCTCAGGACTGTCCACCGAAAGCTGTACAGAATCACAGCTACACACCAGCCGCCACCGACAGATGGGCTGGGGGCGGGTCACTACCCATGAGAGACCCCAGCTGGAAGTCGAAACGAGTTCTTCCATGGAGAAGGTGAGAATTTGACCACAAAACTATCAGTATCTCGACTTGCGCATATGGTGATGGTGTGGCACGGAGTCCTTTCTGACTCATAGCTCACAGTGACCCCATACAGGCTTTCCAAGGCTGTCAATCTTTATGGGAGCAGAAAGCCTTATCTTTCTCCTGAGAAAGAGCTGGTAGATACGAACTGCTGACCTTGTGGTTCGCAGCTCAATTCGTAACCCACTATGCTAGCAGGGCTCCTACATGTTCGTATCAATGGCCTTGGTTCTGTGCACACGACATCACCGCCTGCTGCTCTCACTTAGCTGGGCCCCATGCCAATGACCATCCACAGCTGTCCTGAGTTCACATGCTGCCCTGCTCAGCTGAGCGGAACACGCTGAGAACCGCTCACTGCGGCCGCACTGCCATCGAAACCACATAACCAGAGCTCTCCACCCTAACAATCCGCTATTACCAAGTGGCCCTGCCCAGCCAGGGCTGAAGAACTCATACTCCACACATAGACCACCACCAAGGGCAGCTATGAGGACCTGGGATAGTGCTGTAGGTTAGCAGTTCAAATCTACCAGCCGCTCCTCGGAAACGCCGTACAGCAAGGGTGGAGGATGTCTGGCCTGCAGCTCCAGCCACCACATTGTTGTTGTTAAGCACCATTGAGCCGGTTCCAACTCATAGTGACCTGTATAGGGTTTCTAAGGCCTGGCTGCTGAATTTGAACCACCGACCTTGTGGTTCAAACCAACCTTGCAATCCAGTGCTTTATCCAGAGTCACACCAGGACTTCAGTCATCACATTGGTTGTTGGTGGTTCTGTGTCGTGGAGTCAGTTCTGACCCATAGCGACCCTGTATAAAGTTTCCAAGGAGCAGCTGGTGAGCTTGAACCACCAACCTTGCAGTTCAAATGACTTTGCAACCTGACGCATTAGCACACAGCGCCACACCAGGACTCCTTATTAGGCATTGGTGGTGGTGGTGGTTGGTGTTATGTGCCGTGGAGTCGGTTCCGATTCATAGTGACCCTGTACAGGGTTTTCGAGGCTGTTAATCTTTGTGGGAGCAGAAAGCCTCATCTTTTTCTCACGGAACAGCTGGTAGTTTCAAACTTCTGACCCTGAGATTTTGCAGCCTGATTCATAACCACTACGTTACCAGAGCGCCTTGTTGTTGTTAAGTGCTGTTGAGTCAGTTCCGATCCATAAAGACCCTGTATAGGGTTTCCGAAGGGCAAATGGTGTGCTTGAACCATCGACCTTGCAGTTCAAATGGCTTTGCAGTCTGTCGCATTAGCACACAGTGCCACACCAGGACTCCACCGGAACTCCTTAGGGTGAGTTAATGAACTGTTTGACCAAATACAGAAGACTAATTTTTAAGTTGATAACCACATGGCGGGTGAATGATGTTATAAATTTTGGCAAAGAAAGGTTCCCCTCCCCTTCTTACAGGGTCGCTATGAGTCAGACCCAGCTCGATGGCACTTAACAACAGGAGCATGACAACTCCCCATGTGGAAGGTGGACAATGAAGAAGAAAGACGAAGAAGAACCGGTGTAGCTGATTAGAGAAGGACACTGCAAGTGTGATGGACTGCCAGACCCAACGAGGAGGAAACGCAGCCAGAACGCTCCTTAGAAGCCACGATGGTGAGACTCCGTCTCTCAGACTTTGGACACGTTATCAGAAGGACCTGTCCCTGGAGCAGGATATCGTGCTTGGTGAAGTGGACGGTCAAACGTAGCTACAACTGTCAGGATGGCGCAGGAGCTGGAACCAACGTGATTACCACCTAACAACAAGGCAGTTCCTACAATTTTCCCAGCTGTCAGACGAGGACACTGAGGCCCCGTGTCCTACAGCACGTGGGGTCAAGGACCTGCCCTCTGACCTCAGAGCCTGTGGTTCCAACCACTGCACCATTCTGACAATTCTCCTCAAACTCAAGTGACAGCCTGTTCCCCAGCAGCAGCGCTCCGCTCGATGTACACCAGGATCCAGAGCCGAGGACAGCCTACAGTAGCCACGTAGGTCATTTACATGGAAGCCACTGTTGTTAGGTGCTGAGTCGGTTCCGACCCATAGTGATCCTATGCACAAAAGAACCAAATACTGCCCAGTCTTGCGCCAACCTCACAATTGTTAAGCTTGAGACACTGTTGTCACTGTACCAATCCATCTTGATGACAGTCTCCCTGTTTCTCTTTGACCCTCCACTTTACCAAACAAGATTTATTAAAGTACAAACTCATTACGCTTTAATAAATCACCTCTCATGTGTGCGAAAGCTGGGTATTTTGGTGCATTTGACTTGCAGAGCTGGTGAAAATATTAAATATACCGAAGAATGTGCAAATTGGTCTTAGAAGAAATCAAGCAACAGGCTCCTTGGAAGCCAGGAGGGTCAGGCTTCAACCTGCTGAATCGTTGTCCACTCGTGGTAACCCACGAGTGTCCGAGTAGAACTGCACTCTGTAAGCTTTTCAAGGTATGACCTTCTGGAATTAGATACCCAAGGCTTTCTTCCTGGATGCCGTTGGGTGGGCTAGAACCACCAACCTTTCAACAGTTGAGCGTGTAACCACTGACACGGTACAGGGACTCCTGGGAGACCCTGCAGTGAACATCCACGAAGAGCGTGGGTCTTCATCTCCAGAATCCATTACTGATGTCCTCGCTCCTAAGTAGGAAACCAAAAGCCATCCATCGTCTGACACTGAATTGACGGGACGTGGGTCAGTCAGGTCTTGCTCCACAGTCTCCTCTCCTTGGACAGCACTGGTCTCCTGCCTGTGGCTGGCCATTTGCCAGGTCAGATTCTAGTTTGTGAATCTCACAAACAACGGAAAAAGCAACTAAATACAAACTGAAGTCACTGCAAGTTGGAATGCCCATGTTACCTTGGATGAGAGATTTTGTGTCCATGGTAAAAAATGATACTGCCTAACAGATAAATTGTACATCAAGCTACTAACCAAGGATGCCTGGGAGGTCTCAGTCACTCAATCCCAGAAGGGGACTCCAACAAGGAGAATGCAGGGACAGGCATTTCCATGAGAAATGTGTGCATGTCCCAGGGTCAGGAAAGGCCCGTAAAGAGACCAGTGACATCTCAAACATTTGTGAGAAACAAAACAAGCTTCTCAGCTCCCAGAAGACGGTCCCCACCCAGACGTGCAGGCTCCAACCATGGTGCCATCTGTCCACAGCACAGGCAAACAGGCACGCAGTAGACGTTTCCAGAGGTGGAGGTGGGAGCTGCGCGTTCATTCAATAACGCTAGGATTCCAGAGGAGCCCTGGTGACTCTGTAGGATAAGCTCTGAACTACTAAACTGCAAGATCGGCAGCCACCTCGTGGGAGAAAAATGAGGCCTCGGAAACCCAACAAAGGATCGCCATGAGGCAGAACTGACGTGATGCAATGGGCAAAAGGTCGCAGTCAGTCAGAGAGTGAGAAGATCTAATGGCTGGCACATCTCATACATCCCACCTCTTCCCACAGCTTCCCCACAAGGGTGTGTGGAAGGAGGGAAGGGAAGGGGCCATGCTGTTATCATTCCTGTTTGCAGCTGAGGAAACAGATGGAGACTGAAATTTAGATTGTAGGAGTGCCCAGAGCTTAAATTATCTCCCGCATTTAACTTTCTAGCTTTTAAATGAATCTTTTAACATATGCTTACCCAAAATGCAAACAACAAAAAAAGAATCAGAAAGAACAAGGCTGAGAGATGAGTGGACAAGCCCATCCAATGTTCTCCAGTGAGCTCCCACTGGGTGGGGTGCGGGAAAGAGATGACATACAAAACATTCAGCATTTCCATCCCTCAGGGTGGTCCCACTGTGGTCATCTAAAGTTGAGGGTGAGCAAAAAAGAGGGAGATGGACGAACACAGTGGCCCCAAAGCGAGGCCCGAACTCATCAACCGTGTGAGGATGGTGCAGAGCCATGCAGTGTTTTGTTCTGTTGTACACAGGGCCTCTGTGAGTTGGAACCAACTGGACAGCACCTAACAATGACAACTTATAGGATGAATATACTGCTAGCTAATGTGCAAGTGCCAAGGAATGCTTTTCAACAATGTGGTTCTGGCACAAGACCCCCGGCACCCTCTCTGTGTGTTCCCAGCTGCATGGTCACTGGACCGGGTTTTATGAGCAAATGTTGATGGTGTGCAGCTTCCTCCCTCTGCTTTCTCTTTGGAAGCTAGACTCCCAAGTCCCATCCCCAGGCCCAGGGTGAGAGAGCACTCTTTCTGTGCGGAACCCACCTGCGGGCAGCGTCGAGAATTCGACGAAGGCCTCCTTCTTCTCCCGCTGCTCCAAGGGCAGCTGCCATGGCATCTGGTGGGGCTTGGCAAGAACCTTCACCTTGTAGGCCATGTTGGGTCTGAGATTTAAAAACTGGTACTTGTACCTCGCCGCCCTGACGATGTCAAACTCCTCTTCGTTGAGGAAGATCACGTGGCTGTAGTTGCTGTTGGTGGGGAGCCAGGAGAGCTGGGCGGAGATCTGGGTGATGTTGTCCACCCGCAGATGGGAGGGGGCCACCACCACATCCCGGCCCACCAGCAGCGTGCACTGCAGCTCGTCTGAGCTGCCCCGGCTCGTCACACACTGCACAGAGATGCGGTAGGTGCACGCAGCCATGTTGAGCTTCTCAATGAGCGCTTTGGTTCTGCTCCCCAGCGTCAGATTCATCCGCGTCTCCTTGTCCACCAGGATGTTGTAGCTGCTTACGGTCCCCCACCCCGGGGGCATGGCTGGGGGCTCCCAGCCCACAATGACACTTTTGGCGAGTTGTTTGATTAGGGTGATTTTTCTAGGGTAAGGCACAATGTCTTCTCCAATCTCATCAATGTTCATGTCCAGCGTCCCCCCACCATTGTCCGTGACGCTGGGGTCAATGTGAATGGGAGAGTGGAGGTCCCGGACGTTCTCCCCTTCCAAGCCGATGCCGGAACGGTTGATGAAATTCTGATCCTGTTCATTTCCCAGCGTGGTTGCCAATCGCGACTCATTGTCCTGGACAAAGTCCACAAAGTTGGAGGGCACCAGACCTCTCTGTCCATCCAGTAGTTCACCTGTAGGGATGACGGTAGAATCACCCAGCAATCACCCCAGGGACCCTGATAATTCTCCCAAATCGGACCACATGGCAAGGGAACAGTCCCAGGCACCTACTGGGCTTGCTCAGCTTCCTGTGGCAATCTACCCCACAGAGCCGAACCTCTTCAGGATCCCTCCTCACTACAAGTAGTCACTCATGAACTCCGTACACATGCTGCTTAATCTCGCAGCGCTCACCACCATCTGCCCCTGTGTATGTGTACTTGTTAATCTCCTGACAAAGATGGCACCTCAGGAAGGCAGATTCCTTACCTGGCACATAGGAGGTGCTCAGTGAACACTACGCAGGAGAACTCACAGACTACTGCAAAATAGATTTCACATGATGACCACTAATGACCAAAGGCCAGAGAAGATGTGCGAAGACATCAAGAACATTCATTATACAGGAATACAGCAAAAGGTCATTGGCAAGACAGGAAAGAAAGAAAAGACCAAAACAAATGTCAGAAGAGACTCTGAAATTTGCCTTGAGGGTACAGAAGTTAAAGCAATCAGGGGAAAAGATGAAACGGAAGAGCTAAACAGCAAATTTCAGAGATCAGCCCCAGACGACAAAGTCAAGTATTATAATGCAATGGGCAAAGACCTGGAGTTAGAAAACCGAAAGGGAAGAACACACTCAGCATTTCTCAAGCTGAAAGGACTGAAGAAAAAATTCAAACCCCAAATTGCAATACTGAAGAATTCTATGGGCAAAATATTGACCAAAGCAGGAAGCATCAAGAGAGAATGGAAGGAATACAGAAAGGCACGGTACGAATAAGAAATGGTCAGTATGCCAACAATACAAGAGGTAGCGTAGGATCAAGAACCAATGGTATTGAAGGTATTGCCCCCTAACAAGGCTACACAAATGGAAATGTTTTCACAAACGGATGCAGCACTGGAGGCGCTCACACTTCTATGCCAAGAAATCTGGCAACCAACTGGAAGAGATCCATATTTGTGCCCATTCCAAATAAAGGGGACCCAAGAGAATGTGGAAATCATTGAACAGTATCATTAATATCACAGCAAACAAAGTTTGCTGAAGAGAATTCCAAAATGGTTGCAGCCATACATTGACAGGGAGATGCTATAAATTCTCAGTGGGTTCAGAAGAGGACGTGGAATGACGGATAATATGGCTGATGTGAGATGGATCTCAGAGAATACCAGAAAGATGTTTAAGTGTGCTTTATTGACTATACAAAGGTTTTCTATTGTGTGGATCATGCCAAGCTATGGACAACTCTGCTGAGAATGAGTATTCCGGAACAACTGTGCTCTTGAGGAACCTGTCCACAGACCACAGGGCAGTCGATCAAACAGAACAAGAGAACATGAATGGTACAAAATCAGGAAAGGTGTGTGTAAGGGTTGTGTCCTTTCACAACACTTACTCAAGCTGTACTCTGAGCAAATAATCCAAAAAACTGGATTATATGAAGAACGTGGCATCAGATTTTGAGGAAGATTAATATGTGATATGCACATGACACAACCTTACTGACTAGAGACCAAGAGGATAAACACACACTGATGAAGATCAAAGACCACAGCCTTCAGTATAGATTGCATCTCAACGTAAAGGAAATGAAAATACTTACAACTGGGCCAATAAATAACATCATGACAAACATAGAGAAGATTGAAATTGTCAAAGACTTCAATTTGCTCGGATCCACAATCAATGTTAAGAAATCAAATGATGTATTTTATTGTATTATATAAATCTGCTGCAAAACAAAGACCGCTTCAAAGTGTTTAAGAGCAAAGATGTCAGTTTGAGGACGAAGATCCACTTGACCCAAGTCACGGTCATTTTAATGGCCTCAAAACCATGTGAAAATAGGACAATAAATAAGGAAGACCATAGAAGAACTGGTGCGTTTGCATGACGATGTTGGAGAAGAATATTGCAAGTACTGTGGACTGCCAGAAAACAAACAAATCTGTGTTGCAAGAATTACAGGCAGAATTCTTCTTAGAGGCCAAGATGGCCAGACTTTGTCTCCCAGACTTTGGACACGTTGTCAGGAGAGACCAGTCCCTGAAAAAGGACATCATGCTGATAAAGTGGAGAGTCAGCAAAAAAAGAGGAAGACCCCCAGCGAGACAGACTGGCACAGAAGTAGCAGCAACAGTTAGGATGGCGCCAGACGGGCGGCTTTTCGCTCTATGTACACGGGGTCACTATGGGTCAGAACTGACTCAATGGCACTTCACAACCCAAACCCTAATGCTAACACTAGCTCCAGCCCTATTGGTGGCGGACTACGGTAAGCATGGGCCCCTTGTGCTTATTTATGGCTAACTCATGGTAAGCATGTATTCTCTTATGCTTACTTGTGGTTACAATAAGGCCACCTTGTGCTTGCTCGTGGTAAGCATGGGCCCCCTTGTACTTACTCGTGGTAAGAATGGGCCCCCTTGTACTTATTTGCGGCTAATTCATTGTAAGCACAGGCTCCCTTGTGCTTACTTGGCTGACTCATGGTAAGCATGACCTCTCTTGTGCTTACTTGTGGCTGACTCATGGTACTCATGTATTCTCTTGTGTTTACTTGCGGTAAACACAGGCCCCCTTGTACTTAACAAAAACAGGGTCTTCTGTGTTTTCTCATGTTAAGTAGGGGCCCCTTGTGCTTACTCATGGCTGACTCAAGGCAAGCTTGGCCTCATTTATGCTTATCTGCAGTAAACACAGGCCCTCTTGTGCTTTCTCACGATAAGCAGAGCCCTTTGTGCCTATTCCTGGTAAGCACGGACCCCTTGTGTCTACTGATGGCAAGTACCTGACAACACCTAACAAGAACATGCGTGAGGGATCAGGCAGGATTAGACCAGACCTGAATTCACAACCGAGCCCTCCATGGGTGCTGGCAGGGGGCTGGAGGGAGACGGGGCGGTCAGACAGAGGACAGGGACGGACCCCTTTGGAGGAGATGGACCTCTCAGTTGTTCAGGAAACCGCTGAAATTCAAAGATAGAATGTCTGCAAGTCAGAATTCTTCTTGCAGTTGAAATTTGGAAGCCGCACTCTGCTGTCTAGCCGTGACTAAATGACAACCTCTCACTGTGAAGCACACAAGGTCAGTGGGGCCACCCTAGGAATCAGAGACTGGCAGAGCCACCAAGCCCAGTCCCCACCCAGCCCCAGCCACGCCCCAGCAGAGACCTTCGTAAAAACCATCTTCATCCATGTCGCCGTACACATAAAGGTACTTCCCTGCCGTGAGCGGCAGCTCCGCTTCCGGATTTTCATTTGGCCCATCAAAGGGGTTGTAGCTAGAGGGAGACATAAAGCCAATCAGTAGCGATGCTGGATGCATTTCCCAGGCAGGGCCAGGGGCTGCCATCTGTCTCTCCCCACCACTGAACATTACAAACCCACATGAGCGTTCATCCGGTGCTGACGAACCCCTGGAACACTCTGGAAACCCAGGCCACACTGCCCACTCATGAGGAAGTAACAGACAGATCAATCTGGAGCCAGGTTGAGACGCTCAGAATGTTATGTTGATGTTGCTCACACCCGTCATGCCCTCCATCAATGTACATTTCCCAATCCCCCACACAATCAATTTCACAAAGGTAGAATCGTAAACAATTGAGCCATCTTTGTTCTAAGCCTTGACAATGTGAAAACCCACTGAGTGGTGACATCTCCAACTCATGATGCCACCATGTGTCTCACAGTAGAACTGAGCTCCACAAAGTTTTCAGGAGATGAGTTTTGGGAAAGAGATTACCAAGCCTTTCCAAGGCACCTCTTGAGCTACTGAGTGAGTTTGCCATTTGCTCCACCATGGAGTCTCCTAATGTCCACTGACAAGCTTACTTCTCCTCCAAGCTGGATGGGGACCCGTCAGCTCAGGAGCATCCCCCACTGCCCCTTTGATGATTGGTCAGCAGTGTGCAGAGGGGAGCACCATCCCTACCTGTAGCGGGCAACACATAGATGAACCTTTCCGGAGTATCTCTGCTTTGCGGTATTGGAATTCCGTTCATTATCCATCTATTAAAGATACAGGGAATGTCCGGGTTATGGAATCTGTATGTCCCACAGCCCATGCCACAGATCCACAAGATGCACTTCCATCATCTCATGGGACTTCGGGGAAAACGACATCTGTACCTTCTGTCGACTCAACACTGATTCATGGCACCCCCGTGTGGTCAGAGTAGAACTGAGCCCACAGGGTTCTCAGTGGATGATTTTTCATAAGTAGATCCCACTCATGGTGCCCCGTGTGTGTGTCAGAGTACAACTGTGCCCCACAGGGTTCTCAGTGGATGATTTTTCATAAGTAGATTCCACTCATGGTGCCCCGTGTGTGTGTCAGAGTAGAACTGTGCCCCACAGGGTTCTCAGTGGATGGTTTTTCATAAGGAGATCCCACTCATGCTGCCCCGTGTGTATCAGAGTAGAACTGTACTCCACAGGGTTCTCAGTGGATGGTTTTTCATAAGTAGATCCCACTCATACTGCCCCGTGTGTGTCAGAGTAGAACTGTGCTCCACAGAGTTCTCAGTGGATGATTCTTCATAAGTAAGTTCCACTCATGGTGCCCCTTGTGTGTCAGAGTAGAATTGTGCTCCACAGGGTTCTCGGTGGCTGGTTTTGGAAGTGGGCACCAGGGCACCTCTGGGTGGGTTCTAGGTGCCTGTCCGTTAGCACCTGAGTGAATTCACCATTTCCACACCCAGGGACCCCTATCTTGGCTATGAACTAAGAAATGAACGTAATCCCCAAATATGGATTCTTTAATCACAACTAAGAGATGTTTATGAAGAATTGGCCCCTCATCAGCAAAGGGAATAAAATGGGGGGCAGGGGAGAGGGGGAAAGGCAGAGGGAAGAGAAGGAAGATGAAGGACGGGAGGGAAGGAGGAGAGGGACGGAGCCCCCATCCACGCCCACCACAGAGCAGGAGATGGAAGGCCCTCTGAGAAGCACTCACATCAGACTCCACTCTGCATCTCGGGCCTCCGGATCTCGACAGAAAGGCAGGTTTGTGTGACGGCAGCTCTGGCACAAGGGGCAGGATATAGTCACCAATCACAGAGTGGCTTCCAATGGTGCTCTCCTGACCTGACCATCGGCGTTAGACCAGTTGGGAACAGGATGGACATCAGTGACAGTAGACATCAATGTCAGGCACCCACCATCTTACTAGTATCAAGCTGTGGTTTCCACATCTGCCCCTCTAGCTCTTCATGGGACTCGGCTGTCTACACCTTCTGCCAGCTGAGCCCCATCCCCTGCTGTCCTAACAATGGACGCTGAGTATGGCTCAGCCAAAGGAGTCACTGGAGGGATTTTAATGGGAGGATTTTCCTTTACTTGGACCCACAATCAATACTCATGGAAACACCCACCAAAAAATCAAAACGATGTATTGCATTGGGCAGATCTGCTGCAAAAGACCTCTTTAAAGTATTTATGAGTGAAGATGTCACTTTGAGGACTAAGATACGCCTGGGCCAGGTATTTTCAATCACCTCATGTGCATGTGAAAGTTGGACAATGAGTAAGAAACACTGTAGAAAAAATTGATGCATTAACATTGTGGTGTTGGAGAAAAACATTGAAAGTACCATGGAAGGTCTGAAGAACAAACAAATCTGTCTCAGAAGAAGTACAGCCAGAATGCTCCTCAGATGAGATGATGGTGAGATTTTATCTCATGTACCTTGGACACGTGATGAGGTGGGACCGTCCCGGGGGAAAGACATCATGCTTGGTCAAGTGGAGGTTCAGGAAAAAAGAAGACGCCCCTCCCAATGAAGTGCAGTGGCATGGTGGCTGCATCAATGGGGCCAAGCAGTACAGAGGCTGTGAGGATGGTACAGGACCAGGCAGTGTTCCTGCTGTTAGGTACAGGGTCACTAGGAGTCGGAGCCACATCAACAGCGCCTAATACAACATCAATGAGGTAAGACTCGAGGCAGCTGTGTAATGATGTCATCAGCCTGTGACATGATCTGATGTGTTATGACCATTTATAAGAGGATCAGGGTGGGATAGAACCTCCATGCCCAGGTCATAGCCCCGATGCCACGTAAGGACTGTGTCCCTGGACTGTGGCGAGGCATGAGCTGGGAGACTCAAGCACATTAACGGAATCTTCAACCACCAAGACAGAAGAGCTGGGACAGTGTGTATTTGGACTTGGACTCCCTGGGTTGACAACCTTCTAGATCCAACACTCTGAATTAAGACTTCACACCTCCTAAACTCGGATGGAACAACTAAGAGACCAGATCAGTCACTCACCTTTGCCGATGGAGGCAGCGATCCCATTCATGAAGGGTGGGAAGGGCTTGCTGGGGGCACCCACAGGACTGCTCCCCACGAGGTCGATGGTCCCTGCGTGCAGCCGGAACCTCTCCAGCTCCCGAGACAGCAGGCTGAACTGCTCAGTCTGCATCTGACATTTCGCCTCCAGCTCTTGCACCTTGGACTGTGGAGTTGTGTACAGGGATGGGTCAGCTGGGGGCGCTCGGAGTGGGCACGTGTGTGTGAGGCAGGGAGGGAGAATGGCGCTGGATAAAACACAGCCTCCCATACAGCCAGGCTGGGGGCCAAGTCCCGTTATTGTGCCAGAGTGAGGAACCACAGGTGCCAAGGAATCTTGCAAAGAGCACATCAGACGATTCTGGGTTCCGTGTGCCACCCGGGCACTTTGCTGTTGGCAGGCCTCACCGTGGGACTGTGGAACTGGCAGCTGGGGCCCAGTGTGGATGGGAACGATGCCTTATCTGCCAGTGCTACCTTCTCATTGGGGGTGCCTGCCCACCTTCCCTTGAGAATGCAGGGCTCCCACAGAACACAGCTCTTAGCAAACACCAGGGTCATTCTACCTGCTAGATTTGGGCAGCGACACCAAGGCCATGTGTAGACACCACGAGGATACCTGGGAATCCCCACGGGTACCCATTCTCTTGGGACCCAACAGGCTAGCCATCTTGGGTACCTTCCTCCGTCCTGGGTCCTCACGTGGCCTCCTCAGTGGACACAGGAGTGCCGGCTTCCCCTCCCTGGGATATGTCCTGGTGCAGAGGTATGCTGGTCTCTAAGACAGTCCCCTTCCAAGACACATATCAGGGAGGAGCCTGCTCAGGCCACTGGCCCCTGGTCATATGACTCTGCTCTGTCTCCGGATCCACCAGGAGCCCAGCTCTGCTTTCGGATTACTCACGGGCCCTCAATCATCAGACAGATCACTGAAATTCCACAGAAACCATGGACATGGAGTGGATCCCAACTCACAGCAGCCCCATGTGTGTCAGAGAACTGTGTTCCCCAGGGTCTCAGTGGCTGATTTTCCAGAAGATTGCCAGACCTTTCTTTCAAGGCACCTATGGTTGGACTCGATCCTGCAAGTCTTCAGGGAGTAGCTGAGCATTTGTCATTTGCATCACTCAGGAATTCTTTCATTGTCGTTAAGTGCTGTCGAGTCAGTTCTGACTCACAGCGACCCTGTCTAGGTTTTCCAAGGAGTGGCTGGTGAGTTTGAACCACTGACCTTGCAGTTCAAACTGACCTTGTGAGCCAACGCCCGTCGTACAGAGCCACCCCAGGTACCAAACTCTAAATTAAACCAGCCGCTGCCAAGCTCACCACAACCACCAGTGGCCCCACGTGTGTTGGAACAGAACCTGGTTCGGTATGGTTTTCAGTGGCTGATGTTTTACAAGTTCATCCAAAACCACAACCAGCCCTCCAGTGAGTGTTGTTGTTGTTGTCAGGTGTCATCGAGTCGGTACTGACTCATAGTGACCTTATGCACAGCAGAATGAAACACTGCCCGATCCTGGGCCAACCTCACTATTGTTCCCATGCTTAAGCCCATTGATGCTGCCACTTGGCCAATCCATCTCACTGGGGGGTCTTCCTCTTTTTCTCTGACCCTCCACCATAGCAAACATGATATCCTTCTCCAAAGACTGGTCCCTTCTGACAATATATCCCAAGTATGAGAGACGAAGTTTGGCCATCCTGGCCTCCAGGGGGCGCTCTAGCTGTACTTCTTCCAACACAGATCTCTTGGTTCTTTTGGCAGCTATAACCAATCACATTAACCATTGACATCATCCAAATGCAAACTAAAACCAAACCCATAGCCTTCAAGGTGATTCCTACTCACAGCAACCCTAGAGAGCAGAGAATTGTCCCAGAGGTTTCCAAGGTTTTTAATGTTTAAGGAAGCAGACTTTCTTTCTTGTCTTTCTCCCTCGGAGCAGCTGGTGGGTTTGAACCACCTACCTTTTGGTTAGCAGTCCAGTGCTTAATGCAGTACACCACTAGGACTCCTTTTCACTACTCAGGGGCCTCAGTAATTTGAGGGTATTGGTTTGTGGGGGTCATGGTCTGCATGCTGTTTTGTCTCTCCCACTGGGAGATGGAAACATTTACTGTGCTGAGCCCCCCACCAAACAGCCAGATCCAGAGGGCAGGGCTGTGGTCTGCAGCAGCAAGAATGGGGGCACCCTCAGATACCAGCCTGCCTGGAACACCCAGCTCCCCAGTCTCCAAAGAAATGCTATTTATTTCTGCGCTCACGGGTTGCTTAAAATAGACTTAACAAATTCCAAACCCAGAATTCGTTTCTTTGATTCATTTAAAAAGCAGGAAACGAGCAGTATTCTTTTACAAAAGCTGAAGGAACCCAGTGGGGGCCATTTCCACCAGGATGCTCAATTACAGAAAATCAGGTGTCCTGGGTTACCTACACATTAGACAGCTAAGAGCAAGGTCAGCGGTTCAAATCCACCGGCTGCTCCGTGACAGACAGAGGAGGCTTTCTGCTCCCATAAAGACGTACAGTCTCAGGAAACCGATGAAGGGCGGTTGGGTTGGTTCTTTCAGGCAGAAGAGACAGCGCCTCGAGGATTAATGGTCATGGTTCATTCTAACATTGGTGACATGATGTGGACATGAAAGGTAACATACCTAAAATCCCCAACAGATTTTCCTGTTACAGAACACTCTGGAAACGGCAAAATCCTCACCACAGGGAACGAGGGGAGTGGCCAGGGTTTAGGGCGAGGGAGTGTCTTTGTGAAAATGGAGGTGTTGGTGCGGTGTGTGTGTGTGGGGGGGGGCACAAATCTGCTGCTTTTGATGTTGTTGAGTAGACTCTGACTCATAGTGACCCCATGTGACAGAGAAGAGCCTCCGAAAGGGTTTTCAAAAGCTGGACAATGAATAAGGAAGGCCATAGAAGAAGGGATGCATGTGAATTGTGTCGCTGGTGAAGAGTATTGAGTACACCTCGGACTAGACTGTCTAAAGAACACCCTACTCTATCTTACAAGTACAGCCAAATCTTCCTTAGACGTGACGATGGCCAGACTTCGTCTCTCATACTTCAGACATGGTATCAATCTGTCCCTGGAGAACAACATCATGCTTGCTAAAAAGTTGGGGAAGGTCAGTGAAAAAGAGGATGGCCTCAGTGAAATGGATTGGCACTTCTGTGGGTCTAAAATGATGTTAAAATCAAGGCTTAAAATGGAAAAAAAAAAAAGAGAGAGATTTAAGGAAACTACCACATAGTAACACAGGTGGTGTTCAGAACGACCGTTGCATGGGACCTTGTACCTGCTCAAGGTGTGGAGTGCAGGTGAGGTGTTACACATAAGGAACTGCTGTTGAGCCCAGTCTAACGTCTACCAACCCTATATGTGTCGGAGGAGAACTGCACCCCACCTGACGTTCAACAGCTGACTCTTTGGAAGCACCATAGTTTTCCTGCACACATGCAACATGCACACGCAGAACGCTCACAGGAAGCTAGTGCACGAGGGGGTTGTGTGGTTTGCAAAACAACCACAACAGTGTATAACGCATGCGGTATTCACATAAAAATATGGTAGCTTGCCAGGTCTTTCTTCTGAGGAAACTTTGAGTGGACTCCAGTAATCAACGATTTGGTTAGTAGCCAAGCGCTTAAACCCTTGTATCCCACAGGGATTCTCCCTGAGCTATAAAATGAAACCAGCGTTCATTGGCTTGATTCTGGTTTATAACCACTCTATATGTGCGTCAGAGAACTGTAGCCTTCAAGGTTCTCAGTGGATGACTTTTCAGAAGCAGATACCACTCATGGTGTCCCCGTGTGTTTAAGAGGAGAACTGGGCTCCACGGGGTTTTTGGGGCCTGTTTTTTTTTTTAAAAAGAAGATTACCAGGCCTTTCTTATGTGCTTCCCTGGGTGGACTGGAATTTCCAACCCTTCCATCAGTAGCTGAGTGTGTAATCACTCACCACCTGAGGACTCCGGATGACAGTAGTGATATTAGGCGCCCTGGAGTCCATTTTCCAACTCAGAGAAAGGCCCCATGGCACAGAACAGAACTGTCCCTAGTGGTTTCCAGCCTGCGATCATTACAGTGAGTCCTGGTGTCACAGTGGGCTAAGCACTGGACCGTTAACTGCAAGGTCAGTAGTTCAAACCCATCATCCCCCCCGAAGGAAGACAATGAAGCTGTGTGCTCCTGTAGAGGTTGACAGTCTGGGAAACGCTAAGAAGCAGTTCTACTCCATCCTTGGTGGTAAGTGTCACCAAGTCAGCTCCGACCCATAGCAACTCTGGTATAGGGTTTCCAAAGAGCAGCTGGTGAGTTTGAACTGCCAACCTTACGGTTCAAACTAACTCTGCAGGCCAACGCATTGCTCACAGAGCCGCTCCAGGACACACTGTGTTCTATAGGGGTCTCTGTGAGTGGAAATCGAATTCTGTACAGCAGGTTCGATGTTTTGGGTGTGGGATCATTACAGACAGCCAGAACTTTTTACCTTCAGAGCCACTGCTGAGTTCCAACTACCACCAACCTATTAGCTGACACCTGAGAGCTTAACCACTACAGAATACGGGCTTTCTGCAGGAAAGCTGTTGTTGTCAAACACTATCATCAAGTCGGTTCAGACCCGTAGTGACCCTGTATAGGGTTTCCAAGGAGCAGTTGGAGGGTTTGAACTACTGACCTTGTGAGTCACAGTCCAGTGCTGATCCTACAGAGCCCCACCAAGAGTCCAGATGAAAGGTGGGGCCTCTCTGAAGCAGACAGCTGAGGCCAGGTTCCCTTAGGGACGGTCACCAGGCCACCCTGCCATTTCTCTCTTCCTGATGGTGTGTGAGGTTCTGTTGAGGATACTCCAAACACACAATTGTGTGCCCTCATCTTGCCGGAACAAGCTGGGTTACTAATGCTGCGCCGGACAGCTGGTGCAAGGGTCCCCTAACTGCCTCCGAGTCACGGGCAGGGGGCCCACTCCACAGAGTTTACGTGATATTGAAGCAACATCAGCCCAGGGCTTACAGCGACATCCGCTCTCCTTTCAGAGTCTGCCTGGGAGCCATGCGGAGGGAGCTGGTGTGATGCGATATAACATTGGAAACTGTACCATCAGTATTTCAGATACCAGCATGGTCACCCATGGTGCAGAGGTTCCAGTG